GAAAATGGGGGGAAATGGGGAAAAATGTGAGGAAATGGAGGGAAATGGGGGAAATGGGAAATTGGGAAAAAATAGGGGGAAATGGGGAAAAATGGGGGAAAATGGGGGAAATGGGAAATTGGAAAAAATGGGGGGAAATGGGGAAAAATGTGAGGAAATGGAGGGAAATGGGGGAAATGGGAAATTGGGGAAAATGGGGGAAATGGGGGGGGAATGCGGAAAATGGGTAAAAAAAGAGGGAAGATGGGGAAAATTGGGAAAGATGGGAAAGGAACTCAGGGATACCAGGAAAAACCCAGGAAAGGGACACAGGAAAAGCAGGGAAAAGTCCTGGGATTCCCAGGAAAGGGCCTGGGAAGGATGGGAAAAGCTCTGGAATTCTTGGGACAGGGATGGGTGGGATGAGGAGAACTGGGGAAAAACCCCAAAATTCCAGGAAAGGGAAAGTTTTGGGATTCACCCCCTCTCCCTTCTCCCTCCCAGGACGAAGGGCAGCAGCTCCCAGGCCGGAATCCCCGGGATGATCCTGAAAAATTCCCAGATGCTGCCAGAGTCCTGCCAGAACCCCGGGAACTCCGGGAATTCCGAAACCCCCAGCCCCGCACACACAGAGGGTGAGGGCCCGCCCGTGCCAGGGGGTTTTCCCGGGAATTCCCCATTCCTGGAATTCCCAGCAGCCCCTCCCTCGCTCCCGCAGGCGTTCCCAAGGACAGGAAACGGGGAAGGAAAGGAAATTCCCGGATTTCCCAAGGGTCGGAAGAAAATTCCCGATGTTCCGAAGGGCCGAGCCCGGAGCGCCTGCGGATCCTGCGGCACCACCTGCACCTGCGCAGGTGGGTTGGGATCTGGGAATTCGGGGAAAAATCCCAAAAATGTCCCCCAGAAGCATCCCTACAAAGATCCCCACAAAAATATCCCCCAAAAAATCCCCACAAAAATCCCCCAAAATATCCCAAAATACTTCCCAAAAAAAAAAGCCTCAAAGAAACCCAAAGAAACCCCCCAAACCTACTAAAAACACCCCAAAAAATCCCCCAAAATCCCCGAAAAACCCCTTTCCCTGCATCCCAGCCAGGGCTGGCTCCAGGATCCCGCTGGGAATTGGGTGAAGGACGGGAACGCCGAGTTCGACTCCGACGAGGAGGAGCCGCCCCCGCTGCCACCGGCCTGACGTCCCCAGGCGTCCCCAGAGCCCCGGGAATAAAGGGGGAATTTTTTGGGAAAATTTTTCCGCTTTATTCCCAGCGGCTCCTGAGCTCGGGGCGGGCACGGGGGAATTTTTAGGATTTCTTCTGTTGGCGACCTGAGGGGACAGAAAAGGGGAGGGTCAGGGGTGGGGAGGGGACACCTGGGGACACTGAGGGGCTGACTCTGAGCTGGGGACACTTGTGGGGACCCCTGGGTGGCCCCGGGGACCCCCGGGGACCCCCGGGCACTCACGGAGCTCGCTGTTGCGGGTGAGGGCGGCGGCGGCGCGCGCCCGCGGGCCCTGCTGGCTGAAGGTGTAGCCGAAGCGCAGCAGGGACGGGCACTGCTCCAGGGTGGCCGCCATGGCCATCTCCACCGTGTCCCCCAGGCGCTGGCACTGCGGGGACATTGGGGACAGGGGCAGGGTCAGTGTCACAGCCCCATCTCCACCGTGTCCCCCAGGCGCTGGCACTGCGGGATTGGTGACAGTCAGGTCACTGTCACCTCCCCTGCTGTCCGCCTGTCACCTGGCTGTCCACACAATGTCCCCCCTGTCACCTGGCTGTCCACACAATGTCCCCAATGTCACCTGGCTGTCCACACAATGTCCCCCTGTCACCTGGCTGTCCACACAATGTCCCCGCTGTCCCTGTCCCTGCTGTCCCCCTGTCACCTGGTTGTCCACACAATGTCCCCACTGTCACCTGGTTGTCCACACAATGTCCCCACTGTCACCTGGCTGTCCACACAATGTCCCCCTGTCACCTGCTTTTCCACACAATGTCCCCCTGTCACCTGGTTGTCCACACAATGTCCCCGCTGTCCCTGTCCTGCTGTCCCCCTGTCACCTGGTTTTCCACACAATGTCCCCGCTGTCCCTGTCCTGCTGTCCCCCTGTCACCTGGTTGTCCACACAATGTCCCCGCTGTCCCTGTCCCTGTCCCCCTGTCACCTGGCTGTCCACACAATGTCCCCGCTGTC